GAAGGGGCCAAAGAGCACATTTCTGAGCAGGAGGCTGTCTTGAGCTGCTAAGATTCAATTCTTTATTTTCCATCCCCAGTAACAAAAATTTCACCTTGAGGGCAGAAACAAAATCGAGTTAGAGCTCCTAGTAATTAAATTTCCTGCAGTAACTCAGAATATAAATCAACCACTAACTGGATGCATGAGAGTCGCTCAGTGTTGCAACTTCTTTTGTCTTTGTCAAGAAAATTAAAGAAATACTGGTTCAAATTTCTATAAAATCATGAAAACAACAAGTCAGACATCCATAAATGATAGATTGAGCTGTGGTTAACCTCACTTGGATTAATTATTCTGAGTTACAGCGAAGAACGATGCTAATGCATCCCCTTATTCTGCTGACAGGAGCATCCATCAGCTGCCTGCTTTGGCTTCTGTGTCACCAATAAAATCCACTAAACCAAGCCTGTCTCCCTTTATACTGCCTCTCATGCCCTAAGTAGGAAGGGTTTCTTTTTTTTTTCCCTCACTGCATTTCCCTTCATAACTCCCTCCCACTAACTTTGAGAAAACAAAGAAAAATGGAGATTTTTCTGGTATAATTACATTTCCCCTAATTCTTATTTTGCTTTGAAGTGGAGACTACGAATATAAGTAGGAATTCCAAGAAGGAATTCCAAGAGGACACACTCATAAACAGTAGGACTTAACCCTCACCTGAAGGAACTTCTGGTCCCTCTTTGTGAGCAATTCTTCCCAGTGATGAAATATTAAACCAAAATTTCAGATTCCCTGCTCACTAGCTGTGTGTTTGGACATTGCCCTTAATCTTTCCAAACCTTAGTTTTCTTACCTGTGCAATGAGTTGTTGTGAAATTTAAATGAACACAGACTTGTGAAGGGTTCTTGGTGGCTCTACACTAAAGAATCTGCCTGCAATGCAGGAGATTCAGGTTCGATCCCTGGGTTGGGAAGATCCCCTGAAAAAGGAAATGGCAGCCCACTCCAGTGTTCTTGCCTGGGAAATCCCATAGACGGAGGAGCCTGGCAAGCTATACAGTCCATGGGGTCACAAAAGAGTCAGATACGACTTAGCAGCTAACCAGCAACAACAAGACTTGCAAAGCAGAAGCATAGTAAGCACTATAGTGAACTAGTACTAGTTCTGTTGTTATTTCTCCCTAAGCAGTAATTATCTGCTGGATTGTCTCAAACTCAAACACTTCAGAAAAAGAGTCTTTTTTAAAAAAAAAACCAAAACAAATAGTTAGAACCTATGGGAAAACCCCAATAAATGTGGAATGGTAGAAATAAATTTTATGTTGCTTACACTGTTAAACTGCAAATAAAATTTACTCATTGGATCCTAAAAAATGGAAGAAAAAAAAAAACACTTCAGCAGGGCCTCCCATAATATCCTAGTGCAAGGGACATAAGAGAACCACTGGTGTAACTCAAGTTGTAAATACCCTTAGAAGAGATTTTGGGCAGGGTGCTCCAGGTTGTTTGAGGCCCTAAACCTTTCTGAGCTCTATGGGTTGATCCCTAACATGTTCCTACTTTGTGGAAAAGAGAATCAGTCTCCTCCTAAGAATAACTGTCTTCCAAAGAATCATTAGCTGATAAATCTCCAGCTTTTTCAAGGTAGTTTTACTCAAACAGTTGGGCCATTCAATCAACCATCAGTTGTGTGATTGAACTAAAAAGTCAGGGCTGCCCATCAGAGTACCTCCACTGATCAGTCAAAGAATCTATCAGTTTAGCTTTTTGTTCCTTTGATAATCTGGACATAAAAGCTCTTCAGAAGCCTAATCTTTGTTATTTTCCCCTCTGCCAGCATTTTAGAAATGTCTGTTCATAAACCTGTCCTGAATTTTGGCTCTGACTGAAAGATCTCCAAAACAAAAGCCAATTTCTTTTTTTCCCCATCTTCACTTGATACCAGCCTAAATCAAATACATATATTTAGAAATGGGTTTGAGTCATTCTAAGATTGAGAGGACGATAGACAGAAGTCAAGTTCTCTTTATATCCCTAGAGGGCAAATCTTGGCTTGTTTCATTGGCTTTGGATTCTAAAACTGTAATGTAGTCACAGCAAAATGATGTCAGACATTGCAGAGAAAAGCTCGCAAAAAGCAGCTTACACAACAAGGGGAAAGGAACACTTAATCTTTGTTTAGAAAGCAGTCACTGGAAATATTAGCTGCTGGAGGAAATCTAAGTACAGTGCACAGAGAAACAGTGACCTCTTGAATGTTGATGATGATAAATGGTACATAAGGGGAGCCCTGGGGATGATAAATGCTGACAGTGTTTATAAATACACTTCCTTCTATCTGATCATACCTAAAGGGATGAACATCATTCGTAATTATGACACCATTAAAATAAGCATTTTTATTTTATTGCTTCCAGATTTTACATTAGCTTTTAAAGAATTACTTCATTAGATTTCCAGATTAAAATGTGTGATGGTATGCATTCCAACATAAGGTACCTAACAGATTTCAGCAAGACTGAAAATTTTCAGAAGCACCACTTGACTTTAGGCTTTAACGGGTGAAGTCTCTTCCTCAAGTGCAGCCTTTCTTTATGCCTTTGTGCGTGCTCAGTCGCTAAGTCGTGTCCGACATGCCCTTATGTACAGCCATTATTGCTTTCATTCATTTATTAATTCCCCCTAAATGCTTCCTGCTTTGCTTCCTGGGCTGCTTCCTGTTTCAGCTGGATCCGTGTTGACTATCCGGTACCCCCTCCACAGTGTGACTTAGGATAGAACAGCAGCAAACACACAGTGAGTGCTGGGCACTGTGCTTACGGCAGTAACTTGTCTGCTTCCAGCACTCATAACCCTGTGATGTGCATGTTCTGGAGATAAGGAGCTGTCATTGCTCTCCAGCCAAAAACGAGCCTGCATCTGGAGAAGAGCCAGTTGCTTGTTTCAGGGAGAGAGAGTGACACTGTGGCCACTTGCAGGGTGTCAGGAAGCTGAATTTGGGAAAGACTTATTACGGGGTTTGGACTTTGTACAAGGTTTTGCAGGGGAGGGTATAAGGAAGCAAGGAATAGGGTATAAGGAAGCTCAGGATTGGATGCTATTGGAAATAGGACAACTTAGTGATTAGGTGTTTTAATAAGCCATCAGTTATGGAGGGGGATGAATTCAGATTGAAATTGTGATTGGTAAAGGAGCAACTGTCACCTATATCAACTAGGATGGGGCTCTTCGGTCATTTCTGTGCTTGGACAATGCTCATGTTTTGTCAGTGTTCACACAGGATTACAGACAGGTCTTTTTTTTTTTTTCTTTTTTTGTCTTAATTACCTTCTGGACATGCATGCAGGTCAGTTGCTTAGTTATGTCCAACTGCTTGCGACTCTGTGGACTGTAGCTGACCAGGCTCCTCCATCCCAGGCAAGAATACTGGGGTGGGTTGCCATTTCTTCCTCCAGAGGATCTTCCCGGCCCAGGGATCGAACCAGCATCTCCTGCATTGGCAGGTGAATTCTTTACCTCTATACTACCTGGGAAACCCTGTATCTTAGACAGTCAACAGCAATCTCTGCACATTGGCTTGCAGATGCTTCACCCTATGATTTCTTTGTTGCAAGATTCTATTGGTCTCTTACTCTTGAAGATGAAAGTCACTCAGTCATGTCCAACTCTTTGTGACACCATGGACTATGCAGTCCATGGAATTCTCCAGGCCAGAATACTGAGTAGGTAGCTGTTCCATTCTCCAGGGGATCTTCCCAACTCAGGGATCGAACCCAGGTCTCCTACATTGTAACTGGATTCTTTACCAGCTGAGCCACATGGGAAACCCAAGAATACTGGAGTGGGTAGCCTATCCCTTCTCCAGTGGCTCTTCCCAACCCAGGAATCAAACCAGGGTCTCCTGCATTGCAGGTGGATTCTTTACCAGCTGAGGCTACCAGGGTAGCCCCTCTTACTCTTGAGGCTTGTGCAATCTTAATAAAAATAATTATTGCTAACATTTTTAAGTGGTTACCATGTGATAGGCACTATTCTAAGCCCATAAAAACATATTAACCATGTTGTGTGTCATAGCAATTGTATGAAATAGATAATATCTCCTTTTTATGGAAGAAGAAAACTATGGTGAGAGATTAAGTATCTTGTCCAAAGTCACACAGTCAGAAAGTTATTGGGCTGGAACCTAATTGCAGGCAGTCTGACTCCAGAATCCATGATCTAAACCATTTTGTTGTGCTGCAACTGAAAGTCAATCTTTATATTGCTGCATTATTTAAGGACTCATACCAAAAAAATTTAATATTGAAGAATCTGAAGAGCTGATATAAAATGTGTTGATGAATATGGAAAAATTATCCATGAGAGCCCAAATGCAGGGCTTCCCTGGTAGTTCAGTGGTTAAGAATCTTCCTTGCAATGCAAGAGACACCAGTTCAATCCCTGGTCCAGGAAGATTCCACATGCTTCGGAGCAACTAAACCTGTGCTCCATGAGTAGAGCTCCATAACTCCATAACTAGCCTGCACTCTAGAGCCTGCGAGTTGAAACTTCTGAGTCCACAATCTGCATCTACTGAAGCTGGCATGCCTTAGAGTCCGCGCTCTGCAACAAGAGAAGCCACTGCCGTGGGAAGCCTGATCGCAGTAACAGTGTAAGCCCTGCTCACGGCAACTAAGGAAAGCCCATGTGCAGCAATGAAGATTCACCACAGCCAAAACAATAAATAAATTTATCTTTTTAAAAAAGAGTTCAGATGCAAAAACAGGCAAAAGTTCTCAAATATTTAAGCATTTCAATGACACATCGTTTCTGTATACCATAATATGACTATATCTACTCAGATGCAGTATATACACCCATTTATATATATATATATATGTGAATACACATATATAGCTGTTACAGTATAGCAACTACAAGAAAAAAAATCACTATTTCTGCATTCTTGTGCATTTTTTGTCTGAGAATAACACCATCACATGTACATGGCATTGATGCTCTCTATTTTAATTTCACAGATGAAAGAACTCGGTGTCATCTTCTACAACTGCAGCTGCCTGGTCCTAGATTTACAAAGGATATTCGCTTTATATAGTTCATTAAAATTCAAGAACAGAGTACCTCAGACTTGGTCCAAGAGACTTTATGGAGTCTATGACAATGAAAAGAAATTGCAGCTTCAGTTGAACGAAACCAAATCTCAAGCATTTGTGTCGGTGAGTTTTGCTCTTTTTTCCTCCTCCTCCCCCCCTCCTTCTTCCAAAATCCCTTTATTAAGTTGGAATGTTTAAGTGCAATCTTATGCTGGGCAAAAATGAATTCAACCAGTCTATCCTGACACATCCCTAGAAGAGTTAAAATATATACATTCTTATACTCAAGCACATGCTGTCCCTAGTTACAATAACAATACCTGTTAATAATCATTCCTAGTTTCAGATACTTTGCATTATCTGGTTGGATCCCCACCATCACCTGTTAGGTAGACCCAAGAGTATAACTGTGTTTCAAATGAAGATACTGAAGTTTATCTACTAGCACAAAGACCATCAGATGGCAGGTGCCAAGAGAAACGCAAGCACCCAGGTCTTCTGACACCAGAAGCTATTTTCAGTGCCTTTCACCAATGATTTTCAGACTCGATTTTAGCAATATAACCCTCTGAGGGTTGTAAAACAGACAAAAGCAGAGCTATTGTATTTGATTGGGGCTGAAGGGCAAGAGCCCCTTCCAAACGGCCAGGGCACAGTTTCCAGTCCTCTGACTACACTTGGCAGCCACCTCCAGGATGCCCATGCACCGCAGTTGTCCCCACAGTATTGCTGAGAGTGGGCAATGTAAATATCCAAGCCTACAGTCCTGGTCTTCAAACTTTAAGGCATCTAAGAACCAGATGGGGAACCTGATTGAAATGCAAGCTTACGGGACTTCCCTGGTGGCACAGGGGAACACAGGTTCAGTCTCTGGTCTGGGAAGATTCCACATGTCACAGAGCAACTAAGCCTGTGCTCTAGAGCTCGGGAGCCACAACTACTGAAGCCCGAATGCTCTAGTATCTGTGCTTCGCGATAAGAGAGGCCACCGTAATGAACACTGCAAGGAAGAGTAGCCGCTACTCTCTCTCGGCAACTAGAGAAAGCCTGTGCAGCAACGAAGACCCAGCACAACCAAAAACTAAGAATAAATTAAAAAGTTGTGTTATTGTTGTTTTCAGTTGCTGTTGTGTCTGTCTCTTTGTGACTCCATGGACTGCTGCACACCAGGCCCTTCTGTCCTCCACCATCTCCTGGAGTTTGTTCACATTTATGTCCATTGAGTTGGTGATGCTCAATGAGATCAACCATCTCATACTCTGTCGCCCCCTTCTCTTTTTTGCCTTCAGTTTTTCCCAGCATCAGGGTCTTTTCCAATGAGCTGGCTCTTCTCATCAAGTAGCCAAAGCATTGGAGCATCAGATTCAGCATCAGTCCTTCCAATGAATATTCAAGGTTGATTTCCTTTAGGACTGACTGGTTTGACCTCCTTGCAGCCCAAAGGACTTTCAAGAGTCTTCAGCATCACAATTTGAAAGCATCAATTCTTTGACTCTTTAAGGTCCAATTCTCACATCTGTACATGACTATTGGAAAAAAACATAGCTTTGACTATATGGACTTTTGTTGGCAAAGTGATGACTCTGCATTTTAATATGCTGCCTAGATTTGTCATAGCTTTTCTTCCAAGAAGCAAGCATCTTTTAATTTCATGGCTGCAGTCACCATCCACAGTGATTTTAGAGCCCAAGAAAAGAAAATCCGTCACTGTTTCCATTTTCTCCCCCTTCTATTTGCCACGAAGTGATGGGACTGGGTGCCATGATCTTAGTTTTGGGTTTTTTTCTTTTTATAAGTAAGTAAGTAAAAAGTGCAAACTTATAGTTCCCCCAACCTCACCAGGATCTGATCCACTGCACCTGGGTGAAACCTTAGAATTTTTATTTGAATCAGTCTTCTGAATGGATCCTGTTGCTCAGGTAAGCTTCTCTGAACCATTCTCTCAATTTAATATGGCTATTTCTCCACTGTCTTACAAGTTGCCAAAACTTTTATGTCATGGAAGAGCTTTTCATGGGAGAGGAAATAGTGGCTTTTTTGCCCATTAAAATGAAAGCACTTACTGAAAATTTAGAAGTGTAGCAATAGAGAGAAAATTGAAGTTGCTTGTCTTAAATAAATTCATGTAAGTGTGAATAACATAAAATAATAGACTATGGAAGATTTTCATCAAATAGAACAAAAAGCTCCCTTTTTTGGTATGTGTACAGGTCAAACAATGCAGCAGCATATAGCCTGTCATCTAAAGCATTTTACTAATAAAATGATTGCATATATTCAATTTTGTTTTCTCTTAAGACAACCCTGTAAGACAAGAAAATCAGGTATTATTCTCAATTTGTAGATTAGTTGCAATAGGAAATTTTCCAAGGAAACCTTAATCCAGATTAATGGCAACATTAATGGTAACATGACATAAATGATAACATGACACCCCAAGAGTCCAGCAGAACAGCTGGAAGCAGCAAGAAACAGGTGAATTATAAGCATATCTCAGATAATTGCTGGATTTCGAATTTACAGGTTGTATCTTAGAGATGAGTGAATATGGTTGTTGCATAAATTTAAATTCTGACCCTTAAAAAAGTGGGGGAGTCCTCCTTTGTTGATCCCAAAGTTAACATATCTACTTCAGAGAGAGGGCCCAGGCCTTTAGTAAAATCTATGAAAATGCAAGGGCTTTGTTATATTCCTTGTGCCAAGTCACTTCAGTCCTGTCTGACTCTTTGTGACCCTATGAACTGTATAGCCCACCAGGCTTCTCTGTACATGGAATTTTCCAGGCAGAATACCAGAGTGGGTTGCCATGCCCTTCTCCAGGGATCTTCCCAACCCAGGGGTTTAACCCCCTTCTCCTGCAACTCCTGCATTGCAGGTGGATTCTTTACCTCTGAGCCACTGGAGAAGCCCAGTGCTACAAAATAGGTTGAGCTTTTTTAACAGTCCTTTCCTTAAGCTATGGTCTTTTAAACCATGTGGCACCTTTGTTTTCTATTTTATTTATTTAATTATTTTAAATTATTGTTATTTTATTTTCCATTTCATATTAATATCTCAAGCCTACCTTTGAATTTCAGTTCAACAGATATTAATTCAACACCATTTTTTACAGAGGAATAAAATCTTACAGACATAAGATAAATAAAAGTCAGAAAACCCCCAAAATTGGAATTGGTATCATTTGCCCAGAGCTCCTTGGTCTCACCTCTGTTACAGATTAATCACATTTTTGTAGCTGTTGGTTATCTCTCCCACTATTTTGGGCTTCCCTGGTAACTCAGATGGTAAAGAATCCACCTGCAGTGTGGGAGACCTGGGTTCAATCCCTGAGCTGGGAACTGGGTTGGGATCCCTGAGTCATCCCTGGAGAAGGGAACAGCTACCCACTCCAGTATTCTGGCCTAGAGATTTCCATGGACTGTGTAGTCCATGGGGTCACAAAGAGTCAGGCATGACTGAGCAACTTTCACTTTCACTTTCCCACTTTTTTATAAGGCTTCAAAGGTCATATACTGTACTCTCTTCATCATTGTTACTTCCAATACTTCCCTTAGGCCTCCCTAAAGCAGAAGTAAATGTTGGATTGGTTCTATTAGTAGTAATATCAATAAAAAGTTCCAGGATACATACAGTTTTCTGAGTATATGTGCCAAACAAATGTCAAGGCAAATTTATTTAAGCTCAAAATATTTGTTATAAATTATCTTAAAATAGTGTATTATATTTTTATAAGCTTACAGTCCCAACACTAAGTTAACACACAAAATATATATATTTGAGGGCCTTAAGAATTATCATTCCCAAAATTAGATTTTAGGTGATTAATAACTTAGCATGTTTATATATAAATTTAAATAGTGATGTAGATATAAATTATTTCTAATTTTCTCATAGGACAGAAAGAGGTATTTGGTTAGATTTAAGTATTGATCTCTAATAACTTGGGGCTGAATCATTCTAATTTTCTTACATTCCCTATTGAAATCAGAAGATAGGAACAACAGACTGAGATTTTTTGTCCTATTTTATAACAACAGAGTGAGGTTTTTTGTCCTATTTTGTAGAATACTTTTTAGCGTTCTTAAGATAATGCATTTTATTTCCAAGATAAAGACTAGTTAGTTCAAGATCTGTCTTTATTGATCTGGGTGCTAGAAAGATTTAATTTCTTGTTGTTTATTGCTTAGTTCATTCATCCACCACTCATGTATACTGTAGTTATTTAGTAAGTGAGGGCGGACGTTGAATAGAACTTGGTGCTGCTCTGAAAAATATAATTAAATTTTCCTTTAGAATCTCAGCTATATATTTTAACTACACTTCAATAGATTTATTGAGATATAATTTATTACCATAAAATTCATCCTTTTAAAATGTAAAAATCAGTGAGTTTCAGTATAGTCACAGAGTTTCACTATCATCTGTATACTTTCTAAGTTTAAAATATTTTTATCACCACAAAGGAAAAAGCCATACCTGTTAGTAGTTGCTCTCCGTTTTCCCCTTCTCTCAGGCTCTAGAAAGCACTAATCTACTTTCTGTCTCTAAGGATTTGCCTTTTTCTAGATACTTCATATAAATGAAGTAATATTGATACAATATGTAGTCTTTTGTAACTGATTTCTTTCACTTAGTATTAATAAAATGGTTTTAAAATGCATGACTCAGTTCTTTTTCCTTTTACGGCCAAATAATTTTCCATTGTATGGATATATCACATTTTCTGTCTGTCCATCAGTTGATGGACATTTAGATGTTTTTACCTTTTGACTATTGTGAATAGTGTTCCTGTGAACCTTCATGTACAAATTTTTATTTGAATACCTGTTCTCTGCTATTTTGAGTTTTACTTAGGAGTGGAATTGCTGGGTACTGTTGTAACTCTACCTTAAACATTTTGAGGCATTGACAAATTTTTTTAAATTGGCTGCACCATTTTGCAGTTCCACCAGAAATGAATGAGGATTTCAATTTCTGCACGTCTTAGTCAATACTTGCTATTTTCCGCTTTATTTTAGCCCTCTTAGTGTTTGTGAAATTTGTCTTATGGTTTTGATTTGCATATTTTAATGCACTTACTGGTCATTTGTATATCTTTTTAGAGAAATGTCTATCAAAGCCTC